CAGGCTCTAACAAGACTGCCAGCACCAGTACTCCCACACAACAGACCATCAATAACTGCACGAGTGTTGTTATAACACCACTAATGGCCGTTGGAGTGCAACCCTGTAACTCCTGTAGTCATTGGCCATAAAGATAATTGGTCTGAGTCAGTACCAGAGGAATGAGGAAATTTGGGGTTGAAAGGTATTTGCTGTGAGAAGGCCCCAGCATGCTTTGCTGTCTGCCTGCATTGACCTACTGCAGGCAAGTCTCAATCAACATACAAAGAGCACTGGCAAAAGCTACCTCCTAATTGTAAATCATTTAGTCAATCAAAATATAGCTCCTAAGCTACGTAAAGATCTCATTTCTTCTCAAGAGCCTTACATGGAAAAAACACGGAAATGCTGTACAAGGAGAAGGGAAAAAGCTTTATTTAAAAATGACAAAAAACGAAAGCTACAGGATCCCATTTGTGGTGTAACTTAAAAGAACTTAGGTACTCATCAAAGCTAATTAAGACAGGCCATCTGCAAACGCTTGTGATTTGAAACATTCCTCCCTGTGTCAATGGAACAGTGTGTTGCAGCTTCCTCACATCCCAGCCTGACAGGTACTAAGCTGTTCTGCCTAATGCTACCAGTCCCAGGATAGGGAGAATCTCCCTCCTTCCTCCTGCAGCATGAGTGCACATTACCTAAGCACCACCCTTTGGCTGTGCCATGCAGGAAAGGAATGGGGAAATGTTCCTGCCCCATGTGTACTGTTAGGGACAGGAGCACCCCACAGGGAGCAGAGCCAGTGCCACCCTTGCTCAGGTGCACAGTTGAGGCCAGCTCCCACCGGTGGGTGGAAGCACCTTGCTGGGTACCCTACGGCAGCAACTTCATCTTGGAAGAACCAAACCAGCTGTTCACTGCCTTTGGCAAGTGTTTTGCAGGAAGAGCTGCAGGCAGTGACAGGCTAGCTCGGGAGGAATGAGCCCTGATGGTCCACCCTAACATGGCAGAGAAACGGGTGGTGGCAGGCCTGGGAGACATCTGTGGAGGAGCAGTTCCAGCGGGACAGAACAGCTCACAGAACTGACACTCAGGCAAAGAGCAGTGCAACCTCCTGTGCAGCATGCAGTGCTCTTGATACACAAATATTTAGTTTCTTCTTAGCAATGTTTCTTGGTGGTTTTGTCCATGAAGTATTCTTTGTACCTTGAGGAAGCCAGAAGTGTTGGAGGAGCACCAGCCTCCCAGAGTAGCCAAAAGCACTGTCATCTGTGTCCAGGGTAGACAGGGCCATTAGTCCAGGGCTGTCCTGGGCAAAGCACTCTCTGCACAGACATTTGGAAAAGTCTTTTAAATCTTAAAGCCTATTTATAAGTGTCATAGTTGGATGTGACAAGTACTAGGATGCTTAGAAATCCATTTTTAATTCCAGCTATGGACTTTACAAACTCTGCCTCGGGATTTCTTTCTCAGCTCAAGTTTATGAACCCAGTCTAAGCTCATGGACTCAGGCTTTAATCCCAAAGGAACAATTTCAGTTGCCAAGCAAGGGTAAGCTACAAAACACCTCTCTCATTGCTGAAGGTCCACTTCAGAAAATGTGACAGCACCATCTGTCCTTGGGGTGGCACCTGCCTCCTGCTCACTGAGCACCCTCTGCCTCCAGCCAGAAAGCTTAAGTTCACTCTGTGCACCCCGATAGTGAAACTGGTGTACAACAGTGAGAAATGGCTTTGCCATGTGTGTAATGCAAAAATGTTGGACTTACACTGAACCTTCAAAGAGGCAAAGGGAAAACAAAGCCACATCTCTTTTCTTTGTAAAGCACTATAAAGAATACCTGCAGAGTTTTTGGGTTTGTTTTTCAAAGAATCATGTATATGTACACACATACATACCTATATATATACATTGCACGCACGTATATATTCCTTAATTTTAGGTCCTAATTATCCCTCAGGAGACATTAGAGTAGATCTTTATACCTAGATGGTTTGAGCAAAGTATATTTGTAGGATCTGCAAGAACCCCACACACTTGGGTTAAAAAAAAGTGTGGAATTTTTACTGCCACATTGAAGCTGAAATAAAAATCTTATTATCTCTTTATCCAGACCATTTTTATTAAATTAAAGAGGTTGTCTTAAATCAGCACTATATTTGAAAACTGCTCAAAAGTCTTTACAAAACAATTGTCAATTGCTTTTCTGTTTCTGGACATTTCTCACACATACTATGTTCAGTCAAGATTTAACACTTCACTGCAATGCTTTGCATTTAGACAGTTTTAAATAGACTTCATGGGTGCTATGCACAGAGCATTGTCGGGTCAGACAGTCTCTGAGTGAGAACCTTTGGATTTCCCAGTGCCAATGTTAGTTAGAAGTAATAATCTCACTGTTTGCAGCTGCTCCAGACAGTATCTTTAGGTATGTAAAGTATTCATAGTCACGTGCAGCTTGCAGATAACCAAACTAAACCAAAAAAACGAAAACACAGTCTACAGGGAAAACACTTCCCACTCTGTTAGCAGGAACACTGTATTTGCCACATCCCAGGTGTTATGCAGAGCTCTCAGCCAAGATTTTCTCAGCAGAACCTTTCCTAGCTCCATCTATATCCTGAACTTTCTCAAAAAAATGTCATTACCTTCTATTGTAGTCTCTTTTTCCCCCTCAAACTGATGGACACAAGCCATTTCATTCTGCAGCACCCCACATTTCTGCTGAACCTCATGCAGAAGTTAAACAACAAGGTTAATGGCTGGTGTGGAGATTGGGACCCAGCACCTGGAGGTGAATGCATATTTCCTGCCTTTGGAGTTTGATACTAAGCTAGACTTTCTGTTTCTTGTTGGGAAAACGCTAAAGAAACATTGTTTTTGCAGCATTCCCTACTCCAAAGTGCTCGATAGTTGGCAGAGATCCAAGACTCACCACAGCCAGAGGCTGGAAAGCACTTCTTAAAAACAAACAAATGAACAAGCAAACAAACAACAGACAAAACCAAATAGGGAAAATGACACAGAGAAACCCCAGTTCCAAGAGCTGCAGAGGATTTCTGCGAAGGAACAGAAATCAGTTCTACAAATGACACTTTTACTCTGCTATAGCATATCTGAAGGCTGGGAGATGTCTAGTACTACATACTCAAGAAAAATACAAGGAATATTCTTCCTCTCAGAAACAATAAAATATACAATGCAAGACTATGCTAGCAGTGTAACAGCCCTATAAATTGCATTTTAAAAAGAAATGTATAATAATGTTTTTAAAGTTCTAGCTACAGAAGATTCTTTAATGTTATCCTTCAATTATTAGCATAGAGTTTAAAATGACAGGCTCTCAAACAAAGATGTTTTTCCACTGAAATAACAGGCTATCAATGGTTTCAGATATTGAGATGCATTTAAGATTTTCCCAATCTCAACCTGATACTGCTGAAATTCTTAAACATTCACTGAACCCAGGAAAAATCATGCTTACCTGAAACATAGCCTTATTTGTAATACAGGTGCTTTTTCCCCCCCCTTTACATAGCAACTCATGACCACAGACCTAAACAGATACATTACATAGATCTACTTTTTTCATTTCTCAGGTTTTGAGCAAGAGTAAAATTCATGCTGGATCTTTCAATAAGCAGATCTTAAAAAAATGGGACAAGACCATATTTTTAAGAAAAGTAGTAGCACCTATAAGTGAATAACACAATACTGATCACCATTATAAAAACAAGAGATTCACAGTTGACATCCAAAGGGAGACACAATTTCCTCACAAAAGGAAGCACTGTGGAGATAACAGCAACTACAGACTTTCATTCACGATAGAATACCAAGGGCCTCATTATAGGCACAGATCTGAGCTCTTAAGACACTAGAGAGCTGGCAGAGGGCAACACACCCCCACCAGACTGAGAGTCTCAGTAAACAGCACAGGCGAAAAGCCAACTTCCAGTCAACCCCAATCAAGTGAGATGGCCCCAACCCTTCTTCAAATGAGAAAACAGGTATGACAAAACTGTGCAGGAGATGGCAAGAGGGATAGATGGCTGGAGGAGATGGTGAGAGACAGATTAGAAGGAAAAGAAATCCCTAAAATAGCTAACTAACTAAAAAAAAAAGGCCTTTGTCCTCAGAACCACATAGTCATTAAGAAACAGGCCACATAGCTGTAACTTTTGGCTGGCTGCTCTTTGAGGCTGTAAACTGTGTTTATCTGTATTTAATATTGATGAGGTTTGTGCTCTGGCATCTCCCAACTATGCTGAATAGGCGACACTAAAGAGTAATTAAAATCCCTTGATTTCAGCCTAGGTTCACCATAATCAGAAAGCTTTCCAATGAAACTGCTCTGGGCATACATGGACATTACCAAGCAGAGAATATGGTTAATCACTTACAAGACAGTGAAATTACTCTGGATGTATTTGTGAAAAGAACTTAGCTCAGTCTAGCCTAACAGGTTTGTTTAGTATGTTCTCACTATCTTGGGATTTTACAAAGTCTGACAAAATCTGAAAACTCAGTGTGACACAAATATCAGTGCAGAAATCTGTGTCTTTTTAAAGCAGTTTTAAGAAAAAGAACACACACTGCACTCAATCAAATTTTCTTATAAAATCAGATCTATTGTTATTTTAAAAATCTTTCAAAAGCAGGTAAAAAAAAATTAGAAAACCCATGCCTGTAAAATTCCTGCCAAAGATGTTTGCTCTCGTGGGGCAAATAAAAATACAAATTATATTACTAAGCCCTGAGAAGAACTTTAGAAACCTCAGAGCAAAAGCAACCTCTGGGCAATATTCAAGGCTGTCAAGACACATAAAGCACCAGAAAAGTCACCCTCCAGCAATGGGTAATTACTATATACAGATACAAGTAAGCACGCTGGGGGGCAAAGGCACTGCTGCCACTGACTGCAGCAGGCTAGGAGAAGGCCTTTCCACATTTAAGAAATGTCAGCACTCCAAGGGCTCTCTTTATGACCAGAAAAAAAACCAGAGTACAGTAGAGAGAAGTAAAGTAGGACATAAAATTTTATTCTGAAATGATCTCTGGCCACAACAGTAAAATGTAACAAATATTCACTAGAACAGTCTTAACTCCTGTCATCAGCTGTACAATACATACAGTATCATAAAACTGGCCACTAGGATTAAAACCCACTACAACATCTTGAATGTTAAGTGGCAACAGCAGCATCTCACAGAAAATTATACATAAATATATACACAGTCCACATTCAATCATTTTTCACATGTTTTCAGCACACACAGTTGCAGCATATTACAGTCACGTGTCTAAGTCGTTGCCCAATAAAAACCCAAGCTTAGACGTAGTTGTAGCAGTTGAACTGAGTAATTACAATTTGTAGCAGAGATGTACAAGCCCCTAGAAACAATAATTCACAAATGTTATTTTATTTAAATGCTACCATAGCATTATACTGGGCAATATTCTAATCTTTGCTGACTGGAAAAAGAGTTCTTTTTGTACTTATCCCAAATATTACTGATGAGAAAAAAATACTAACAAATGGAGAGCATTAAATAATGCACACCCTTTCCTAAAGATTCTAATATTGCCCGATGCTACTTATGTCTTAAGTGTTTTCAACGTTCCCATGAAGTCATTTATAACTCCAAACCACCCACCAAGTTAAAAGTGGCTTAAGTGCCTTGCACCCAAATTGTAAAAATCCCTGGCCACCTTTATAAGAGCCAGGCACATATAAAAGGAATGCACTTTGGTTCATACCAAATGCCCTGGGATTAAATCACACTATAAAACTAAAGAGTTTGAGGTAAATTTTTACAAATACAGTTGACTTCTGTCTAGTGTCACTATAACAAAAACTTATTTCAAAAAAATTAATTTGATGTTAAAGTACAACCAATAAGGAAGGGCCATCTTTAACCCCTTAATGAGACATATTACAAGAACAGTTTCCTCTCCACCCTAGCAGTGTGATTGCCTTATTGTTTCTATTAAGGCCTGGATCATCTACAGGATGTTTTAAGACAGGTATAGCACTTAAAAATAGTTTTCATCCCTACTAACCAGTATTCCAAGGGTTAAAGAGGCCAAGACGCATGCCCTACAACACGGCATTTGTAACAAAAGGCACATTGTTAACACCAAGGGCACAATCCATCCTCTATCCTTAATCTACATATCTTGCATCACTCTCTTGTTCCAACACACTTAAGTGGTAATGAACCAGTGGTGCAAGAAACTGAGCCAAGTGAGACTGCAACCAAAGAGAATACTGTGCTATTACTAAATCTGAAAATAGCTCTGACATCCCCAGACAATGGTAACATGTGAGACTAAGCACTGTTTCCAAGCCAACTTCTATCAGCCTAATTATCAGAGCCCTTAGAATAAAATCACATCAAAGCAAGAGGCAATGTCCTCCCCCCTCTGTTTTTAGGGGCATAAATAAGCTACAGTAAAAAGCAGCTGCATCACATAAAAACCATGATGTAGCTGCTTCTTTAGTGTAGAGGAAGTTCCACTGCATCTGGGTTAAAAAATAGCTCTGCATACTATATTTTGGCCTTTAAGTTTCCGGTAGCATTTATGACCAAGGTGGATCATAAATGCATTATTGGCATTAAGAACAGGTTACACAAAAATTTAGTGGTTGTAGCCCATTATGATCCATGAATATTATATTTTTACCTTAAGTTGACATGAAAGGCAGAAACATGTATCAATATCTCCTTTAAAATATATTAAGGAAGGCGATTCTTCTTTCACTCAACATCAGCATCCCTATTTCCTAACTTTTGCAGGAAGAGTTAAGGTAGAAAGGAGTGGTAAAGCCAAGTAGGTGGTGGAGAAAGTAAAGATTCCCTGTTACTGTAGAAAAATACACAATATCGTCTTCCCACAGTCAGGAGAGTCAGGTAATTTTACATGAGAATTAATATATCTCTTTTCCAGACTCAGAATTTACTGACCATAATTTACTGGGTATTCATATGCTAAAATCCACTTCTCTTAGCTCTATTATTATATTTCATTTTTAACATGATTTCATACATGTTTACATATTGCACTTACACACATTGTATAAAGTTGTGAACATTTAACACTAAATAATTTAATTTGACTAGAGGCAGGAAATTATCTTTCTATTTAAAAAAGTAAGAAAAATGGTTGATTGACGGTCTAATTTTTACAGTTATCAATCAACAAATACCATCCTCTACTCAGAAATTATTTTTGGAGCTTCTTTAGGTGTTGACTTTTTGGCAAGAAGGTCAGCGATATGTTTCCTGAGAATTCTGTCATTTTGTCCTTATATCCCTCCCCCAGTCTTACATTAAATTACAAATAAAACAAATCAACAAACAAACGAAAATTAAGCTGTAAGTGGTAAATTAATGAACATGAAGGAGAACTTAACCGGAAACTTTCTTGGCCTCTCAGGGGACCATGCTTTAAGTATTTTTCATAATTTGTACAAGTAACTCAGTAAAATATGTGCATATAGATGTTGTTTATAAGTAAAGTTACTGACATTTAATGCAATCCATTCTAGTATGTCCTGTTTTAACATCCATAAACCCTTCTAGATTATGTTCTACTTCATTTAAAATTCCCTTTTCATATGTTTTATACATCCAATGTAGTCCACAGCCATTGTACGTATTAAAATACTGATCTCAGATTTCAAACTGTTCCTGTTGAAAACATGCTACAACGTGTGAATACTTCTTTCCTAGGTCTAGATACTATTCCTCAGTAAAGCCCATCTTTCTTCCATGAATGCAGTTAAAGGAAAGAAAAACCAAGCATTAGTACACACACACACGAACAAATCTACACATATCTCTAACTGTTCTTTCAAAGTTAATTTTCAGCTACAGATGCCAAAGATTAAATCAAATTCCAAGCATTTAACTTTCCTTTGATAATTCTCCCTTATTAGAAATTATCTAGGATGGTGTCTTTCAACTGAAAAGCTATCCACTGAGGATGTTTCCCGCTACAGTTAAGCTGTCTAAGGTGAAGTACTCCTCTACAGGAAGCAATGTTGTAACATCGTGTTTGCCCCTACATGTAGATTTGATCTGAAGTGTAAATGTACCAGAGAATTCACAGTCACACAAACACCGTCAGAAGAAGTAAAAGCAATCTTGAAATACATGTAGTATAACAGTCTGGAAGTTACAGTATAAAACTGACAGAACGAGTACTTCTGTCTATGTGATTCTGGGAGACCAAGCTGCACATTAGAAAAAAACAGACCAGGAGAGAAGAAAGAAAAAAAAAAAAGAGAACCTCAGTGTGAATGCTCAACGTTATAGACCTGAAATGAAGTCCAGAACATTTTGCTTTACCAACTCATCTGTCACTTTCAAATTCAGAGGAACAGACACACTGCCATCTTCATGCTTTCCAAGACTGCCCATTCCTCTCACTGTACCACATGGCATGCAAAATAAGACAGTCATTTTAGCCCTGGCATTCTTATTTTTTGCAATATATTTAAATGTTCATTTTAATCAAAGCTCATTACTTTTGAATAGAGAAAGCATTCCATAGGAGGTGATCGTATCATTAGTGATCCCACTGCTTTCTCTGGGCTACGACACAGAAAATGCCAATGTAATATGCTCCACTTCAAATGACAAGTTTACAAGTGCTTAACTGTATTCTTTGAGTGTTCTCCCTGGAGTCCAGTCAGTCATAGGTGTAAGCGTTCACAGAATCAAGACCAAACCCATAAAATCCAAAAAGTAGTCTTCCAAATTTACCCCAGGTGAAAACTAGTATGAGTCATGGAAGAGAAAGGTTAATACCTTTGATACCACGCTGCAATGCATGACAGTCATGTTGTAACCAGTGGCCTGCCACTGATGTTTATTACTGTGTCACACTAGTTACAGTAAGGCTAATTGTACTGTAGAAGACAAACATTTTAAAAAATAAGTATAAAAACTTAAAGCATTGTCCCCGTGTTTTTATAAAAACAAATCAACATTTCTTACATTTAAAATGAGTGCTGAAAGATACAAATGAATAGATTTATTGAGCAAATAAAAATGTATATCTGAGCTCATTTTTCATACAAATAAGGCTCAGCCACATTGTATTTCTCATATTAACAGCATTGGGTTTTCAAACTCAGCTAACGAGTTTTGGCAACACTGTTCTTTGCTGAATATTCCCATTGGCATCTGTCATCTGTGCCAAATTAGTCCTCAGTTTTGAAGCTGAGCTTGAAGTCGGAGGTAACTTGGAAATTGATGTTATAGCACCAGTGCTCTCTGTAATTCTCTTTGCTGAGGCCTTTTCCCCAGCTGGAGGTTTTGGCAACCGTCTCCTTAGCCAGGGATGTCGCAAAGCCTGGCTGGGTGTCATACGGATAGCAGGATCCCATTCTAAACACTGTTTTAAGAAGTCAAGGAAGAGGGGATCATCACATCCCTTTAATGCGTTACCCCATTCTCTGCTCTCTGGTGGGCCACGCAGTTTTCCCCTCCGAGAGCGTCCACCATTAAGTATTACAGAGCCATCAGACAAGGTTGTGATGCTGCAATAGCGGGGATAACCCTTAGAGCTCACAAAGTTTTTGGCTCGCTTGGATGCATCTAAGAGTTTTGGAGAAGGCATGCCCAATAGTTCAATCATACAAGCCAGCTGGTCTCCTTCATCTTCTCCAGGTAAAAGTGGATAACCAGTCAGAAGCTCTGCTAGGATACAACCCAAGCTCCACATATCTATGGGCATCCCATAACGAGCACCAAGGATGACTTCAGGTGCACGATAAAACCGTGACTGAATGTAAGTGTAGACACGCTGATGGTCGTAACAACTTGAGCCAAAATCAATCACTTTAATACCACTTCTACCTTGTTGCTTCAACAGAATGTTCTCAGGTTTAAGGTCACAGTGAATGATTCTGTTTTTGTGCAAAGCATCCAAGCACTGTAAAATTGAGTGGGCAAACTTGCGAACCAAAGGCAGGCTAAAGCCCTGAAACTTGTTTTTCTTTATTAATTCATAAAGGTTCATGCTCAGCAACTCAAATGTCATGCAGATATGGCTGCGGAATGTGAAGTTTTCCAACATGTGAATAACATTCATGTTGTTATCCTTATCTTGTTTCCGGAGATGTTCCAGGATCTTAATTTCTTCTGCAGCTTGGCGGTGGAAACGTTTTTCATTTCTCACCATTTTTAGTGCCACATGCTGATGCATCTTGTGATCGTAGGCCTTCACCACCTGCCCAAAGCTTCCTTTCCCTATAACTTTCAGGACTTCATACCTGTATGCAATATGATCATGGGGTACTTGTATGTAAGACCCTTGGTCATCATCATACCCACAATTGTTTGAACCACCAATCACACCTTGCCGTTTCTTTGCATTTGGACCCAAGAAGTATATTTCAGGGTAGCTAAAAATCTCATGATGCTCAAAAGCTGTTAATTTTTGCATGTATTGCTTCATGGCCTGCTCTGGTGTGATAACAGAGGCTTTCACCTTGCCTGTTCCATCTGTAGATTTTAAAGAGCTGGAGCTTCCTTGTCGTCTGTGAGTACTCTCTGACTGTCTGTCCTGAACCACTGGCAATCCAGATTTGCCTAGCGTTGTAAGTCCGTTTGGTTGTGTTGTCAGAACCGTCCTCTTGTTACTATTATCTTCAAAGAGCTGCTGAACCTGGATTTGTCCATGGCTACCAACATGGAGGTGCTCATTCATTGTGTGCTTACTGCCTCCAACCTAGAATCAAAAATAAATACATACCCAGTTAACAAGAAAGACATGAACTCTCTGCTTCAACATTCATTCTGCAACTCACCATTCTGCGTAAATAACCTCAAAATGAAGTATTTTCTTAGAAGTCAGTTGTTTGTAGACAATCTAAGAAATACAGCACATATACTGTGATACTGTTGGATGCTATTAAATTTCCCGATCCTTGTTTCTCAAACGCTATTTTCATGACCCTCCAAAATGTTTCCAACAAGGCAATCACAAATGCGCTACTGTGTTAAGCTAACAATTTCTCCAAGGAACTTTCAAGGCAGCAGTCCTGTAACATCAAGATGCATGCTTGAGGGACATCAGACTTTGTAGAAAACAGTATCAGTTTTACCCTGGAGATCAATATATAATGCCTGTTAGAAGTTACATGGCTAAGGCTCTCCCAGTCACCTGTTTTCAGAAATCAAGATTTTAACTTGTCCCTAAATTTGCTATATATCAAAAGTTCCAGATATATTTTTAAGCAATAAGGAATGTGCTGTGACATGCACAAAGAGAAAAAGAACGTTTCTGAAGTTCAAGAGATGTCATTTACTGCTTGCAATTGAGACAGTCACAATTCAGCAAAACATTCCTATCCATGAAGAATAAGCATAGCTTTTAGCACTTTCCCACACCAGTCTTACAATAACTTTTAACTAAGATGAGATTTGAGGCCTGATGCACACTTGAGTAGAAAGAAAATCTTTGCCTTGAGGAACATACAAGTAACTTTATTTTAAAGGAATGGAAAAAAAGCAATAGTTAATTTTAGAAATTACATTTGTTCTTGACAGTGTTCATAAGAGACTAAATAGCTGCATTGAGCATTTTCCAGCAAACAAACAACTACTGCACTAAACCTGTTATTTTTAAGGAGAAACAAGAAATTTACAAGCATATAGGTGCTATTAAAATAGCTGTCCTTAGAATTCCTCATTTGCTCTAAAGTAGAGGAAAATTAATTTGTCTTATGTCTGGTCTTATAAAAATGTGGGAAGAATTCCCCTGCTTTCTCTCAAGCTGATTCACTGGTCTTAATATTTATGCCAAATTACTAATGAAAAGTTCACTGATATGTCAGACAGATATCAAGCCAGGACTGAGAGCACGTTTCATCCGAACCTTATTTTTAGTAGGCAGCTAAGGATAACACATTCCCCGTTCACTTAAGATTGCTGAAATGAAATCAGAAAATGACAGCTGTGTGCTGTAATATAAAGCAATGAAATCTGTGCTGCAACAGCAGAAGTGCTTCCTAATGAGAAAACGTGGCCATGCAACGCAGACTTAAGCATACTTTGTGCTTCTGTTAAGGCATCAGTTTGATATGGCAGAAGTCTGTTTTTGCAAATTCAGTAACTTGTTCCCAAAGACTTGCCAGCTGGATACCGGCTTCACCTTTGGACAATATTTTGAAATCTGCAGCTCTGAAACACATAATAGAAGAGCACGTGTTCTCAGAGATTGCTTCTGTCTTGTTCACTGCTCTTCTGATTGCATTTTGACTCACGATGAATAACTGGTTCATTTTAGTTCACCATTGCAGTTTAACTGTGTATGTTTGTTTGCAGAGAAATTTAGGCTCACACTATCGAATTTGATCAATCTCACAGAAAGCATTACCACACAATCACAATTCAGAGCAAAGATGTTTGTAACATTTAAGCAGGGTGAAGACATACAGGAAATCAACAAGAATTCCTTTCCTAGTTTGATGTCTCAAAAGCACCAGAAATTAAATCATCAAGAAGACTTAATCAGCTTATCAAGCCTACAGGCAATTCCTTCAGGTCAAGTTTGAGGTGCACTGCAGTAGCAGTTTCCTGAAGGTTGCCCTGATCCTCTATATGAACAGCAGTTACTGCAAAGAAAAAAAAATCGGCCCCAAGAGCTGCTAAATCACCCATCTCAGAACCAGATCTAGTTTAGTAAGATGTCAGAGGTTCAGCACATGCAGCATTGCAGAACTGTGTAAGAAAGGCACAATGAAGCAGCAGAGTAACCATACAATTACAAGGACTCAAGCTAGGAAATTCCAGGTACAAACATTTCTTCTGCAGCACTAGTTGAACAACAAAGCAGAACATATCTGCACAAACTGGTAGTAGACAACACTAATGTAGACAATGAGTAGAAAGAGTATAGCACAGAAAACTATCTTTAAGAATTTCTTAATCCAAGTACTCATTGCCACAGCTCACACCTTGAATTAATTTTTTTTTCTCTCAAGTCATCTGTTTTCAGAGTTAACTATCTTCTACCCTTCCTAAGCACTGCTTATGTCAATATATGCACTGAGAACTTCTTCAAGGCTTGGGAAAAGCCCAAATATTTATTCCCTCTCAAAAGGGACTAAAGAGTTCTTTTTTCTAAAAGTGTGTTTGCAAACATGTTCTAAAGTGTAAACCATGTAGCTCTGCTTCCTGCACCTTCAGGCAGTCTCATGGTTTCTTTTGTTGCTGACAGGTTGGCTCTTCTTTAAGCAGCAGAATGAAATCACCAGCATTATCCCAACTTCAACCCAAATCCAAAGAGACCGGTTTTGCCAGTTTCAGCCAGTTGCTACTTGGGAATGCAAATGCAGATGCAGACAGTAGCACTGGTTTTCTTTGTGGAAGAAAAGACATCACATTAGCACAGACTATTCCAAAAGCTGTGGGGAAGAAGAGAGCTCAGTCTTCTTTCAAAAAGCCCAACAGGAGTTTCAGAGCTATCAGACGTATCACAACCACAAAGTCAATATGAAAAATGGACTTTCCTCATCTCAGAGTACCGCCCGCAAAGGATCACCACATCTTCTATTTCCAAGCTGGATGAGGGTTGGACTTGCACCACCCCTTTGCTCTGCCTATCTACCTCTGGCTACTGAGTGTCTGAGATTGCTGTCAAGTTCAGGCTTGCACTACTTACAAAGTCCATAGGCTTCACCAGTGACACTGTAAGTTCCTGAACCACAACTAATGGGCTTGGGAAGCTACAAAGGATTATAGTCTTCTTAGTCCAGTACCAAACTGTTCTCAATACACAGAAGCTTTTCAACTAAAACCATAACGCTGAGAGGTCTACAACATGTTTCCATTTTGCTTCTGCAGAACCAACAATGTACACAGCTGACCACATGTGAGCACTTATGAAGCTTACTTATTATATACTGTATTGCCTGTGCTCAAACCCATCCACACCTTCTAAGATTTACACGTTTTTGTAGCATACATCTTCAAAAACTGATGTACACATTTGTCTACAAAACATATTGAAATAACAGGTTAAGTCTGAACTCAAACTCATCTTCCTGAATCTTCTGGTAACATCAATTACATAACAGCAAGTGTTACAATGGAATGCTTTTTC